GTCTTGGCTGGATGTTCTTGCTGATCTCCTGGGGGAGGGGCCTGTTGCAGTGATTCTCAAATGTCTTGCCTGAGGCAGAATTGCACCGCCCTTGCCTGGGCAGGCTAAGTAATCTACTAGGGTTCACTCTCAGAGCTTTTGTTCCCTGAAGGCTTTACATACCGCTTTGGAGGACAGGAATGAAGTTGGTGGCCTCCTAGTCTCTGGCCCTGGAGAAGCCAAGAGCTTGGAGACTCACTCCTCAGTGTGACCTCAGAGAAAAGCAGTCAGTCCCTCCTGTTTCCCTGGTCTCCAGCCGCTGTCCATGCTTACCTGGCCTACGACCGAGCATTTCTATCTCTGGTGCATGGCTCCGTTTGGAGTCTCCAAACCCAGCAGATTCCTGCAACGTGCTCCTGCACCACTCCTGCTAGGGGGAGGAAGATGAGTCTCCCTGGATCAACTGCTTGTGGAGTCCTTTCTCAAAGGGTAGTGACCTGACTGTGCCAGGTATCAGGGTTTAAGGTAACCCCAAGCTGAGAGCTCGCTCCTCAGCTCTGTCTCTGCAGCTGGCTTCCCGGCTCTGATACCTGCCACATCAGGCACCCCTGGTCTTTCTGTGACCCCACGGGTCCTGATACCACATTGTCCCCATGAGGGCTCCATCCCCACTTAGCCACTGGAGCCACACCCCTCCATGGAGCAGACTTCTAAAAGTTCTGATTTCATGCTCCACTGCTCTGTCACTTGCCAGTAGCCGGCTGATGGAGGCTCCCTCTCCATGCGGTCTGTCTTCCCAAATATTGCCTTGGATTCACTTTTATACACTTCCTACCTTCCAGAAAGTGGTCATTTTTCTGTTCATAGAATTGCTGCTATTCTTTTCTTCGATCTCCTGTGGGGTTTGTAGGTGTTCAAAATGGCTTGATAACTCTCTAGCTGAATTCCTGGGACCAGATGAAGTTCAGGTCTCCTGCTCCTCCACTATCTTGCCCATCCCCACAGGGTTTCTTTTCTACCTCCTTAACTGGTTTTGGTATTCAAGTCCTGGCTGCTTAAAAGAATGAATTGGAGCTCTCCATATTTTTGATTTACATAACAATAACAGAAAGTGTTAAATGACATTAAATTCATCTGATTTTTGATGCATTAAACATCATTATAACATCATACTGTAAAACGCATAAAACATAAACATACCATTCAACAAAATTATGAGGCAAACACCCATATCACCACCACCCACTCAATAGAGAGCGGCCAGCAGCCAGGAGCCCCCTGTGCTGCCCCCTTTTTCTCCCCAGGTAGGTCCATTCTGATTTCCTCTTCTTTAGATTTGCCCCTCAAAATGGAAGCATCCCCAAAGAACAGTTTCACTGAAGCCTGGTTTTGAATTTCCTTCTGATTTGAATTTCCTTTTGAATTTCCTTCCTTCCTGTGTTATTTTGTGTCTTAATTACTATTGATGAAATAGGCCTTGCTCCCCAAATAGGTCATCCTCCCCCCACTTTCTGAGAGAGTGTGCAATTAGGGTGAAGGGCAGAGGGAGGAGAGAGAGAATCTTGAGCAGACTCCCTGATGAACGCAGAGCCCGACACAGGGCTCAATTTCACAACACTGAGATCATGACCTGAGCTGAAATCGAGTCTAATGCTTAACTGACTGAGCCACCCAGGTGCCCCATTTTATTCTTCAAGATTCTTCATGATTCTTGGCTCTGACCTTCCATGTGAATTTTAGAATTTGCTTGTCAAGTTCCACAAAAACCTGATTGGGATTTTAAATGGGAATGCCTTCAACCTGTAAATAGTTTTGAAGTCTTCTCATATCCTATTGCTGCTGTAACAAATTATCACAAACATAAAACAACACAGATTTATTAACTTGAATTCTGGAGGTCAGAGGTCTGAAAGTGTCTCATGGGGCTAAAGCCAGGGTGTCAGTGGGGCTGTGTTCCTGCTGGGGACTCTGGTGAGAATTTGTCTCTTCCTTTTCCAGCTTCTGGAGGCAGCCTGCATCCTTGGCCCATGGCCCCTTCCTCCACCTTCACAGCCAGCAACCACAGACTGGGTCCCTCCCACACTACTGCTTTCTGCTTCTCCCTCCTCTGTCCCCTTCTTCTACTGTTAAGGACAATTGTGATTACACTGGCCCCACCAGATGGTTCAGGGTAACCTCCCCATTGTGGTCAGAGGATTAGCAACCCTAATTCCATCTGCAAACTTAATCCCCTTTGCCATGCAACTTAACACAGTCACAGGTTCCGGGGACCACGGACATTTTTGTGGGGAGCTATTACTCTGCCAACCACAGGGATTATTAGCATCTTGACACAGACATCCATTCTATGACAAGGACATACACCCCCCCTGCTTTAGGTCTTCCCTGAACATCCTCCATAATATTGCCCATGAGGCCTTGTGTATTTTTTAATCCCAGGTACTTCATTTTTTTTTGGGGGGGGGGTACTGTTGTCAATAGTTTGTAGTTGCCTTAAGAGTTATTCTTTTTTATCATAAATGAATGTTTAATTTTATCAAACACTTAACCTGCACCTATTGAACTGATGACCATAAACGTTTTCCTTCCTTACTCTTTCTAAGGCAGTGGATTAGATTAACCCATTTTCCAGCATTAAACTGATTTGGTCTAAGATTTAACCTTAAACCCAAGGTTATGTCCTTTGTATACATCCCCACTTCCCCTCTGATTTTTATTTAGGATCTTCACATCTATGGCCATCAGTGAGATTGGCCTATCATTTTCCTGTTTCATATTGTTTTGAGGAAATGCTGGTCTCACAGATGAGTCAGGAAATGTTTCCTATTTTTCTGTTCTCCGGGAGAGTTTGTTCAATTCTCTTTTCTCCCAGTGAGTGTTGGGTAGAGCTCTCCTAATAAGGACATCTGGGCCCGGAGCTCTGACCGGCTCTGGCTCTTTAGTAGCCATAGGACTGCTCAGATTTTTTCTTTCTTTTTGGGTCAGCTTTTGTCCTCTAGGAACTTACTCATGTTAGTTAACACTTTCAAGTGCGCTGGCACAAAGTCACTCCCAGCATCCCTCACCCCTTTCGGGGTTTTCGGGTAGCTTGGACAAGGACAGACCCTCCTGGGTGGCTGGAGCTCCGGGGGCACGGGCGGCCTAAATGCCCCGTGAGGTGGCAGCTGTCCTGCTCTAACCTCTTTCATGTTTGAGAAGCTGCAGTAATGTCTTTCGTTGCCAGTGAGAGTAACTTGTGCCTTCTTTTTATCTTAATCCAACTTCTTAGCAGCTTTATTCCTTTTTTAAAAGAACGAACTTATAGTTCTGCTTTTATTGAATGTTTGTTCTCTATTTCCTTCCTGTCTGCTATTATTTCCTGCTATGCTTTTAGGCTTCTTTTGTTGTTTTTTTCTGATTTCTTGAGATGGATGATTAGCCCACTGTTCTCAGTCTTTCTCTTATATATACTATACTAAACATCACATACATAAGAACTAATAGTGGGAGGGCTTACGGACAACCTTGTCCCGAGCATTGCTGGGAACAGAGGCCCCCCTCTACACTGCAGATGACCACTCTCTCTGTCCCACAGGGGCTCTGGGGGCTGCAGCTGGGCCTCCAGCGATGGCAGTGAGGATGAGAAAAGCTGTTGGACCCGAGGTCTTCTGGAGGGAGGCCAGGCTATGGATATGGGTGATGGCAGTGAGGGACGGGGCATCAAGGGTGCCTCCAACAGCCCTGGCTCAAGCCCCAGGCCACGGCAGTGTTCTTTATTCAATGCAGGTGAGAGGCCAAGCTCCTACTTGGGCTGATGCCCACCAGTCCTCCAAGGGGGAGCTGGGTGATATGGGAGAGGGACAGGGGAGAACAGCCCTTGAAGGCAAGAGCGGGTGATCCAGGCGGGGCCAGTGGCACAGATGGAGGGGGCAGGTGTGAGGCAGGTGCCCACTGTGGGAAGACAGGGTGCTTCCTGCCCAGGCGCCCCCTGCCATAATCCCCTCTGTGGACCAGGTAGCGGTTCTCAAACTCCAGTGTGAATCATGTGGAACCCATGAACGCTCCTTGGCAGGTCAGGGTAGATCTGTGAATGTGCATTTCGGGCAAGCTCAGAGGGGACACTGACGCTGCTGCTCCGAGGACTACACTCTGAGGGAGACCATCGGGCCGGCATGGGGGTTGGTGGGAGCCCCGCACCTGCCCCTGCTCACCCAGGGAGTCAGCCACATGCCTCATCAGAGGGAAAGCAGGCAGCACCTTTAAGTAATGGAATTTAATGTAATCGTGACACGAACATAGACAGGATGGTGGTGGGGTGACCCAGCACAAATGGGGGTGACCTGTGCCCCCAGCCCTCTGAGGCCACCACCTCCTTGGTGGGACAAACACTGATGTGGCTGAGTGACAGCATCGCACGGTGCAGCGGACTCTGGGAGAGCATCTCCGAGAGGCCTCAGTGAGGGTGCGGGGGGAGGCCGGGAGCCCCCGAGGAGGAGCCTCTGCCGCAGAGGCGCGGGCCGGGGTCAGGCCAGGCATGGGAGGGAACCCAGTGTCACGTGGGCCTCGCTGCGGAGGAGGGCACTGTGCCCTCACTAAGTGCTGCCCGAGAGCTTCAGGACAAAGGGCGGGAGGCACGGACAGTGGGGTGAACGTAAACAACCACGAACAGATGGGGACAGAAACTAGGAACACTCATGAACCTGTAACATTCGACAGAACAGCAACTGAACAGCGGCCCAGCCGGCCTGGCCAGAGGCCGCGTGCAGCCAGTGGCTGGGTGAGCGTCTCCCCATCTTTTTGGTGCCTGGGGGCTCAACAGCACAGAAGGCTGTATTTGATCTCCAGAGGGAAAGATTTCATTTCCTTCCCCTCAAACTGACTCAAGGGGCAGAGAGACAAGACTTCTCGAAGACGAGCCTCGTCCAGGAGAAGGGACCCAGAGACGAGAGTGGCAACGGCAGAGCAGGTGTGCCTGGAAGAGGAGGGGTCCCCGGGAGGAGCCGGGAGGGTGGCCGGTGGCCAGGGCTGCCCCCCTCCCAGCAGGCTTGGCGGGTGCTTCCTCCGGGTGCTTCCGCCAGGAGCCCCAGCGCCGGGGCTGGGGGGCGCAGGCTGCAGGGCCCCTCACTGCGTCCGAAGCTGGTAATCTACAATCAGGGAGGGAGGCGTCGGTTTTCTGCTCTGTACCTGGGTTGGGGCGGGGGGGGGGGGGGGAGTCCCCGCCCCCAGACCCAGGGGCTGCTGCACACCCACCGCCCTCTCAGCCATGCGCACCTCCGTTCTGAGTGATGTAGCGAACCCACGGCAGGGCCTGGTAGCCGCTCTTCTCGATGATCTTCAGGTAGCGCACCTAGGGCACAGGCAGCAGGGCGTATATGCGCTGTCCCCTCCTTGTCCTCCCCCCCAGCCCCCTCCCAAGGTCAGGGAGGGAAAGCTGTGACGAGGACCAGGACAGCACAGGCAGAGAAGGAGACGGGTGGGGCGGGGCCTGTCACTTGCTGATGCCAAGGGAGGGAGGAGTCACTGTGGAAGGGGTGGGAGAGAGCTGGAGGTGCACCCTCAGGCCCAGCGCTCCAGCAGACTCCTGGGGAGGGGGGCCCACAGTTCCCTGCCCCTCACAGACTTGCTATGGAGGTGCCTAGGGAAACAGGCCCCGTGGTGGCAAGTGTGTGGCCACTAGAGGCTTGGACTCGAGTTCTGGGGGTCAAACGAATCTCTAAGCTTGGGGCTGAAGCACGGGGTCAGGTCCGAGTAGACAGGTGTGGAGAGAGGCAGAAGCAGGGCAGCACCGCGGCGCCCCAGGACAGGCTGTCCGGCACCCTCGCTGAAGTGGTCATCTGCGGCTCTCTGAGCCGGGACAGACAGCCGGGCCTGGCCACGTCTGCTCTGGGGCCCTGGCGGCCCCGGCCGTACGCACCTGGATGCCAGAGGTAGTGAAGTAGGGGATCTCAAACTTGACGCTGATCGGGGGCTTGCCCTCCTTGTCCTCCGCCTCCACGCTGGGCAGGCCAAAGTGGGCCCGCATCAGGTACTCCTTGCCCCCCTGGAGGAGCAGACGAGCAGAGCCGGTCAGGCGGACAGCTGCCCCCAGAGAGTTCCAGGTCGCTGGCCTGGCCAGTGAGCCCCTTCCTGCACGGCCATGGTCACCCAGAGTCTCGGCTCCTCCAGCGCACTTACACTCACCCAGGCCTCACGCGTCCGTGCCGGGGAAAATCGGTGAATTCCAAGCATCAAGAGAGTTTCACAAACTCTCAGGGAGGGCAGCTAGTCGCTGCAAGGAAGCCCAGCCCGACAGGCCTCGGGAAGGAAGGAGGGGGGCACAGAGCACTGAGACAGACAGACAGTGCAGGTGCCTCTGTGGGACACGGGCTTCCTGGCCCAGGCCAGAGTCCAAGTGAACACCCCCACATGTCCAGCGTCCGGGAAGCATATGTAAGCAAGAGGGGAAAGGTTCAAGCGAAGGACGGTGAACAGAGAGAGGGGACAAGAGACCAGGGTCGGGGGCTGATCACGAGCTGGACTGGAGTCCTGCTCCCAGAGGGCTAGGGTGGGGGCAGCTCTGGCCCCAGAGGCTGAACAGTGGCTCTGGAGATGGGGCCTGAGGCAGAGCCAGGAAGAACCGGAAGCCCAGTCCTGCATAGGAGGAAGGCATCGTGCTCTGGTTGTCCAGGGGCCTGGTGTGCCTTGCCTACAGCAGTGGGGAGCAAAGAGAGCCCAGCTCTGGCCACGCCAAGAACCGTGTAGGCCTCAATCCCCAGGCTCTTGGAAGGGGTGGTGCCGACCAGCTGCCTCCACCCTGAGCCGGGGGCTGTCCTCGCACTTCTTGGGTAGAGCAGAGCTGCGCCCTGGTTCCCCAGGGCGGCACTCAGGCTCCCTGCCCTGGGACGGTGCCAGTCTCTGCTCACCACCCCTGAGGCTGGCGTGAGAGTGGGGACTCCGCCCAAGTCAGGCACATGTGCTGAGTAAAGACTCTGGGACAATGAGGGAAGAATAATGGGGTCCTAACAGCAGACAAAGCAGGTGGTAAAGGAATAAAATCAGCTCCACCAGCCTGTGTATGAGGCAATAACCAGACCCCAAATCTGGGCCTTACTAAGACAAAAGGGAAAATGAAAGCAAAAGCACCTGCAGGGGGCAGGCCCTCCTGGCAGGGCAGTAGAAGTGGGCTCCCCTACCCTGGGTCTGTCATGTTGATGTCCATGGGTCTGATTCTCCCACGAACAAGGCAGGCCTCCAGGCTGGCTCACAGCCCAAAACACAGCTCTGTGCTGGAACAGCAGACAAAAGATCCCCCAACAGGAGGACCAGGTGAAACAGAGCGGGGGCTGCTGTCACCGGGGAGAATTCAGGGCAAGAAGGGAGGCCAGGCCATGGTCCTGGAGGCTGCAGTCCTGTGTCCACAGGGAAGGGATCATAGTCCCGAGTATCGACAGGCATGAGCTAACACGGCCACAACCTCTGTTAAGCAGATGCTAGACGACGGGCAGAGGGCACCAGAGGAAGGCAGCGCCAAGCGGGCAAACCTCGAGGGCTCCCTACCCCGATAACAGAAGCCTCGTCCTCCTATCAAGTGCACCTGCGGCATTTACAAACTTGGACCTTCTGTTAGCACACGACAAACACGCCAAGAAATCCCAGAAGTAGAAACAGTCCAAACAACGCTCTCTGGCTCCAGCGCTCCCTTAGTGAGGACAGATGAAAGTCAGAAGGCCCGCCCCCTAGGGACTTAGGAAAGAACCACAGGGCGCTTGGGTGGCTCAAATGATTGAGTGCCTGACTCGTGATTTCAGCTCAGGTCATGATCTTGGGGTCCCGCACTGGGCTCCGCACCCAGCAGACAGTCTGCTTGAGATTCTCTTGCCCTCTGCCCCTCCCCCCATGCTCATGCACACTTGCTCTAAAATTAATAAATACATCTTTAAAAACAACAACAATAATCAACTCTATCCAGTTACAGAATTTCTAGATGAGCAAGTCAAATATTACATGTCAGAAACTATGGGTTACACAGGTAAGGCAGGGCTCAGAGGAACATCTATGGCTTAAATACTTGTATTAATATAAATTTTAAAACAAAATCATCAAATGAAAATATCTAACTTGAAAAATTAGAACAAAAAAAGGATGAAGAAATTCAAATCAAAGACTTGTAAAAAACAGAAAAATATTACAACAAAATTAAAAAGCAAACCTGGAAAATAAAAACTAAAAGATAAGCTGCTAGGCAGCCTTATCCAGGGAACCAGAAGGCCCAAAGACACACAAGAAGAAAGAATAAGGAAGAAGTAACTGTTACAGGTGAATGGGAGGGAAAAAAGACCTTCTCCAACTGCACAAAGCAGACAATGGTGAAAATCTGCTCAGGATGGATCATTTTGAAGGGAAATATAATTTACCCAGTCTCCGACAGAAATGGAAACTCTGAATGACCCGATTTCTACAGAAGAGATGAAAGTAGTCAAGATCTGGAAGGTCACATGGCCAAATTCTGTCAACCTTCTCAAGACCAGACGATGTCCTGGCCACTTAACTGTTCTGCAGCACGGAGATGGGACACAGAGTACTTACAAAGCAGGCATAACACAAACACTAGCAGACAGTACACCAAAAAAACAGCCTCATCAAAGTGAAACAGGTCATCAAAGTGAAAATGTCACATACAATGTTACTGATAGAATCCAATGGTGCGCAGAAAAGGAAAGATTAGGTGGAGTTTGCCAGAATGCAGAGACAATCCAGCTCCACCCACTGACAGACCTGAACTGAGACACACTGAAGGGGCACCTGGATAAGTCTGTCACCCATTTGTGTCAAAACCGCAGTAAAGTGGGGCTGGATCGAATCCACAGCCCAGTGCAGCGTCGGACTTGGAAGGGACACCTGACAGGCATCTCCGGGTTGGGGCAAGACCAGGCGGCCATTGTCCACCGCGTCTTACAGGTCCCAGAGACAGCAGCCAAAGCAAGAAGGTGCCAGAGCCATCAAATGCCCAAGAAGAGCAGAGAAGGGAAAACTGTATTTGGCTGAAATGATACGAGAGGATATCTGAAAACCCACGGGAACTGAAAGAAAAACTACCTCAAAGCAGACACCCAGTAAGGAACCAGGGCAGAAATTACCATGCAAATAGCGGCTACCCATTGGAGGGCACAGCGGAAGACCAGACCCCACTCACCAAGACGCTGACTTAAAGCTCATCTTAATGAAAAATGTGCAAACCGGCAGGAGCCTTGGGGGCTCCTGACGGTTGGGGGGCTTTCTGAGGCTTTCATCTGGTTCTGGACACACAGATGTATCCCCACTGAGGAAATTCATTGAGCTCTCCACATTTCATCTGTCTACTTTTCTGCATGTTGTACTTCGATGAAAGTACTTTTTAAAGCAAGAGAGAAGCTATGTGAGGTACATAAGGTAAACGTGAAGACAGTCCCAAAGCACTGAGGTGACACTGGCACAAAGCCTCATAAAGGTGTTTGCAATTCCAAGTTGACTTATAAATTTAGTGCCAACAAACTGATTCTAAAACTTATAAGGAACACCGAACAAGTAAGCAAGCAAGAATCACCAGGAAACAAACAAGTGATGTGTGTATGGGGGATGGGAGTAAGTTCGGGCGGGGTGGGCCTGGCTTTATCAGATGTTAAAACAGAGAATAAAGCCCTGAGTTAAAATATGGCCTTGCTGCATGGACAGAGAGACAACAGGACATTCAGAAAGACATCTTTCGCCGTGTGAAAATCTGATATTTAATAAACATGGCATTTCAAAGCACTGGGGAGAAGATGGGCCTTTTAGTAAACGATATTCAAAAACTGGACAGCTATTTGGAAAAAGATAAAACAGAACCTGCACCTCCCCCCATTTACCAGACCCAGCTCTGAAAGCTCCTAAAATCTAAGGTGAAAACTGCCACCATACAGGTTCTAGAAGTAAATATGGATGAATTCCTTTACATCTGGGAATAGTAAAGCTTTTCAAAGCATGACTTATAATTCAGATGTTATAAAAGGAAAAGATCAAGAAATCTGACATTAAATAATAATGAAACAAAGGATTAACTGAATCAAAAAAGGTCATACAGCAAAAACTACCAGAAACAAAGCCAAGAGAAACATTAAATGCGGGAAAACCATTTGCAACTTACATCAAAGAAAAAGTGCTCATTTTGCTTATATAGAAAGAGCTCTCGGAAACGAAGGAAATGACCAAACCTGACAGAAAAATGGGCAAAAGGTGGCTGCTACAGCTTCCAGAGAAAGAAATGCACATGGCCCTCAGACATAAGAAAAGGCTCTCCATCTTGTTTACAAGAAGAAAACGGCGGCGGGCCATAACTGGCACGGGAGCACACATCCACCTTCCAGGCACTCTGGGCACCACTGGCTGCACACCCGGACTCCAGTGCTGAAAATCCTGAACACAAACCAGGCAGCTGGGCCAGCCTGAAGTGTTCTACATTCCTGGAGCTGGTGCTAGATTTCCGAAACCCACGCTGCTCAGGTCGCAAGGCAGTCTGGTCCCCTCGATGGAAGCTGAGTTCTGAACCAGTGTCAGAGAGAGGGCAAGGGGGGTGGAGGTGCTGCCCTGATGCGGAAGACAGGCCGTTTACACACAAGCTGCCTCTCCCAGCTCCAGCTTCCTCTTCCTCTCTTTGCTCAGCCAGCCCCTCAGCTCTGTCCACTGGCCTCCCAGAATCCCCAGGTGGGGATCACAGCTCCGTGCCACTGTGGTGGGGACAGGGAGCAGGTGCAGTGTGCCTGGAAGTCAAGAGGCATCCCACTGAAAAGGGCACTCACCGGGAAGGACTTGATGGACCACACGATCTCGCTGTTCTCGGGGACCCACTTGACACTCCCCACTGTCGTCTTGAACTTGGGGGAGTCGGCATCGTTGGGCACGGGGATGTGGATCTCCACGTTATTGGCTGTCGACCGCCGCTTGAACTGGCTCTTGGCCTGGAGATGAGGCCGGTACGGCCAAGGTTGTGGAAGGCACAGGTGAGAGCCCAGCCCCCACCCAGCCTGTTCCCACCAGGGCCCTACACCCCTTGGCCTGTCCTGTGGGCCCCACCAAGCCGACCCCCAGTCCTCTAGGCACAGCTCACACCCTCTCAACCACCTGAGATTCTCCCTATGCCCTCCAGTCCCTTTGACCTTCAGGGCTCCCCGTCCTTCCCTCTGGCTCACAATGAGGCAGCACAAGCATCAGTCACAGGCCTTATCTCCCAGGATAGGGAGGACAGAGGCATGGGGCCCCTGCCCTGCTTGGGACCCTGTGCCAAAGGCCCTGAACAGGCGGGGTCATCCACCAGCCCCCTCTTTCTGCCCGCATCCCCAGGCTAACTCTGTGTGCGGGCTGCACGCGCACCTTGATCATGTACTCAATGCGGCTGTGGGAATGCTTCTCAATCACGGACTCGATCCATATCAAGGGCTTGACCTGTGGAGGAGAGTGAAGGTGGCACTCACACATGGTCATTTTACACAGGCCCATCTCACAGAGGGGAAACTGAGGCCCCCGGCAAGGGACTATCTGCCTGGGTGTGAGCCCAGCGTGCCAACACCCAGGGCTATCGAAGGAGTCCACAGCCAGACTGGGATGGACATCGAGACCAAGAGGTCTCCGTGAAAATGCAGAACACATCACTGGGGCTGCTTAGAATGGGGTCTGGCCCCTCAGAAAGTGCAGCGCCCCGGGCTGTGGAACATGGGCTCTGTGGAGTCTGGGCGGGGGCCTGTGGGAACACTCACATGCGTGTTGAGGCGGTAGGACATGAGCTCAAACTCGCCATCTGGAGGGATGAAGGAGATGGTGCGGTCATTCTCGAAGCGTGAGAGTCGCACACACTGGTGGAATTTCACGTCCTCCAGCTCCACGGACTTGCTTTTGCCACCTGGGGGGGGTGGGGCAAGGGTGAGGGGCGGGACAGATCCTAGGTCCTCTGGGTCTCTCTGTCAGTGACACTCCCATTGTTTGGGGCTTACCCCTGGTAGAGCAGAGCTGCCTCTCAAATCTGTGGGTCATGACGGCCAAGGGGCTTGGGTTCCCAGGCAACCTCCCCTGTCCCTCCTTAGCCCCTCGGAAGCCTTGTCAAATCCCAACACTGGGCACATGCCGAGGGCAGGGCTGGGCGGCCTTGTTCAGTCTGAGTCTGCAGCAGCTAGGCCAAGGTCTAGCCAGGGCTGCCACTCAGGAACGTTTGCCGAATGACCAGTAGACCAGGGTGGCAATGCACAGTGACGGCTCAGGGCTCCCAGGGTGCCCTGGCCCCATCATCATCCCTTGGGTTCTGGGTTCCTGTCTTGGTTTTCTACTCCCCCAGAGGAGCTGTGCAGGCCAGGCCCAGTCAGAGACAGGAGCCGCCCTGATGGCCCAACACCGGAGAGACCCTCAGTTCTGCTGCTGTGGAGGTAGGTCTGACAGTGCGGCCATAGCTCCTGCGGCTGGCGGTCCAGTTTGCAAACACAGAGCCTCAGGAAGCCAGGCCCAGGGGGTCTCCCACCACACCCAGGCCAGATGGGAGAGCTAGAGCCACTGTGTGTGGCCTTCCAGCAGCCCGGACCCCATGCCCCATGCAGGGGCAGGAGCTCTTCAGGGAGGGGAAAGAATAAGCCCGCTTGAGCCCGCTGCTCCCTCTAAGATGGTATAGGGTGGGGTCGCGGACCTGCTGCGTGACCCTCCCGGAACTTAACATCTAAGGCACTGGCCCGTCTCATGGGCCAGAGGGGAGTTGACTTTAGGATCAAGTGAGGGGACTTGACTTTAGGATCTTCACTCTTCCGTACTTTCTATGTCCGGGTATTGATTCGTTAATTTTCACAGCTGTCTTGTACACAATGTGAAAATGTGTCTGAAGCAAGTGCTTGAGATCCGCGTGTTCCCTCACACAGCTGACTATCCCCTCGGCTCTGCTCTGAGCTCAGCAGGAGGCCTGCTCCAGCCACAGGGACGCAGTGGGGTTGGCGGGGTACTCACGGCCCGTGTTGTCGAAGAGGACCTTGTCATTGAGGCCCAGGCGCAGCTCGGGCATGCCGGACAGGAAGACCCGCATCTTGATGGAGCCAACGATCTCGCTGCGTAGCACGTTGCCATTGGCACTGACCTGGGGGGTGGCGAGGTGGGTGTGATGGGACGTCCCCACTCACCAGCTGCCCCTTCTCGATGCCCTTCTCGCCATCCCCTGAGCTGGGCGAGCCTCACCTGCCTCTCATCCAGCCTCTGGGCCAGGGCCTCAGGCCATGAGGGCAGGCCTCTTTCGGAGCAGGCCATACTTGCTTTTCTTCTACTTCTACTACTTCCTAAAGATGGGGTTTCCAGGACGCTGACCCATCCCTGCTCCCCGGGGGTGCCCTGAAGTCTGGTACCACCGATCCAAAATAACAGTGCATTTACACAGGTACAGTAACTGACTGAGCCCTTTCTCTGCTCCGGGTGGGGCTCTGCGGGGCTCTGCGGGCCTCGACGGCCTGCAGGCCAGGGTTCTGACTTGGGCAACCCTCTCCCTCACGTGCAGACCAGGAAGCAACTGAGCGCAATGAGACAGTCACGGCAGGCCAACAAGCAAGCCTTGAGACTGTCCTGAGAGAGCCAGGCTGCTGCAACACCTCTTGACACACAAGGACACCGAGGCACAGAGCAGAGGCCACATGATGGCTGGCAGAGGTGCTGGGGCCACAGCTGGGACTGCCACCCCATATCAGCATGTCCACACGCACAGGCGAGAACCAGGGCTGTGAACACAGGGGCCCAGAGGGGCCAGCCACACTCCCGCGGTGCAGGGCTGCCTCTCTCGGGAGAGGAGGAGGAGAACCCATCCAGCCTTTAACTGGAGTGTCTGGAGAGCCCCGCATGCATACAGGTGAGCCCTCTATCTCTGAGGGAGGCACAGACCTGAGGCACCAAGTAGATGACAACCCCAGAAAAGGCACACAACAGGCCAGAAGGCCCTGCACAGTCTGGCTCCATCACCCCCACCCTCGCAGCTCACTCCACTCTGGCCACACTGTCCCCCACTGACCCCAGTGGGCAGGTACCTCCCTGGCCCCACAGCACACAGCAGCCACCTCTTCCTCCCCTGCCTCTCGCCAGCTCTGCCTGCCCATCTCTGCCCCTCCTCAGGTGACGGGCTGTGTCAGGCTGCTCGCTGCTGGGCCAGCATGAGGACAGCGCCTGGGGGCAGAAGGTCTTCAGAGAGCACGTGCTAATGGGGGCCCTCGCTGGCCAGCCAGGCTCTGGCACTGACTGGCCTTACTCAGGAGGCCCTCCAAGCTCCCAGAGGTGACTGTCCCTAGATTGGGAGGGCTGTCTTCCCCTTGGGGAGTAGGGACTCCTCAGCCCCCTATAACTGAGCACATGAGCTGGGAAGGCAGGCTCAGGAAGAGTGCAGCCCACGAGGCTAATCTCAGCTCTGCGGGCAGCAACCAGGCCAGGTGGGCACAGCAGAGATGGCTGCTGAGCTGCTGAAGGACCCCACTGCGTCCAGATCACCAGAATCTGGAGGCCCATGTTGACTCAGCTGCTGGCTCTGCAATCAGACCCCGGAGTCTGGTGTACTGACACATCGGGGTATCCACACCCACCTCATGCTGCCCTGTGTATGGAAGAAAAGGGCTCCTTTGGGCACAGATGTATGCTGGGGTGCACTGTGCTGGATACCCCGTGAACTCGAGGTGCTTTCACATAGAGCTATTTAGAAGCTACTCCTTGGGATTTGCTCTTCTAGCCCAGGACACTCTAGAGCCTGAGAGACCATGTTCTGGGCTCAATAAACAATTCAGACAAAGGTCCCGAGACAGGAGAGGTCTGTGGTTACTGAGGCCACTGACTTGCTCCACGACTTTAACAGTAAGAAGGCAAATATGTTTACATTAAGTCCACTGGGAGAATCTGTTGGGGAAGCCCTATTGACAATTCCACAACGGGGAACTCAACCTTCCAGGAATCCCACCCAGGGATGGGAGATGCCCCAAACACATGTCTGAGGATGAATAAGTTTGCCTATTTCTGCACTGTCTGCAGCACCTGGAAATGGGCACAACCAAGTGAGCCGCACAATGGGATTGGCCCAGTCATGGTAATCTCTGAAGGGGAGATGGAGCAGGTTGAAGGTAACATGGGGTCGGCTCTCATCCCCCTTCCCTGCCACTGACTACAATGACAAACCTAGGCAGGGTGCACGGGCAACCACGGAAGACTGGAAGGCACAGCAGGGGGATCTGGGAAGAACCCCTCTCGGTGTAGGAGAGCGCCCTCCCCACCTCCCCTTCGTGCAGAAGTGCAGAGGAAACCTGGAAGTGGAAGTGAGCACTAGGGTACAGACAGAGCTTGCAGAATCCTCCAGCTCTGGTTTTAGGGCCAGAAGGGGAACTCCTGATTCTTAGAGCAAGTACAGAAATCCCCTAATTCCCCCCTTTTGTCTGTTCTCTCACACCCAGGCCCCAGGCCACATAACTGCTGTTCCCAGAGGGTGGGGCAAACCCAGGATGGGAGCCCACTGCGGACAAGCATGACAGAACGGGGATCAAGAGTCCCCAGTTGGTCACAGAACCAAAAAGGGATGCCCAAGGCAACTGGAAAGTACCAGAAAGATAGCTGAGAATGAGGAGTCCAGGAAAACAAACCCATGAACTTGTTTACGTCTCCATGGAGCTCTCTAGAACTAGGCAAGGGTGGCTATGATGCTCATTAGTATGCCAAAGGCTTTGAGATACAAACTGCACAGTCCCAGACTGACCACCGGGTGGTGCATACTCCGGATAAGCTCAAAGAGCAAACAGCACGAAGGCTTTGAAAACTGAACTGATACTCATCGCCCATGGACTGGGGGGAGGGTGCAACTTGTGGCCTGAACCTAACCAGGTCAGCTGTCAGCTGAAACACAAATAATGACGCTTCTGGTATAATCTAAACAATACCTAGAATCTTAGAATATTCAAAAAGTCCAGGATCAAATCTAAAAATACTTGGCATACAAAGAACCATGAAAACTTTAGCTCAGATGGAAAAATACAGTCAACAGGTCCCAATCCTGATGCAAACGCTAGGATTATCTGACAAAGACTTTAAACAGCTAGGTAAAAATCACAAACACCCTGGTAGCAAATGTTAAATAGAAAGTCTCAGCAGAGAAACAGACTACAGGAAGAAGGATCAAATGGAATTTTTAGAGCTAATAAATACAATGACTGAAACACAAAACTTGTTGGATGGGCTCAATAGCAGAATGGGGACAAAACAGGAAAGGGTCAGTGAATCTGAAGACAGATCAAAAGGAATCATCCAATCTAAACAACCAAAAGAAAAAAAAAGTTGGGATAAAATGAACAGAGCCTCAGAACCCTTGGGTCACTGACAAAAGGTCTAACATTCATGTCCCTGGAGTTCGAAAGGAAGGAGAAAGAGTGAAGTGATGCAAACCTATTTAAGGAAACACTGGCTGAAAACATCCCAATTTCTACAGAAGATGTAAGCCTACAGATTTGAGAAGCCAAACAAATCCCAAACAATAGAACCCAAAGATACCCATACCCAGACACATCATGATCTAGCTGCTAAAAATGAAAGACAAACACAAAATTTGGAAAGCATCCTAAGAAATGCAAAGCCCTACAGGGGACAAGGATTTGAGTGACTGTGGATTTCTCACCAGGAAGCATGTAGCCCTGAGGGATGGCAGGACATTTTCAAGGGATCAAAGGAGAACTGTCAACCCAGAATTTGATATCCAGTCAAAATATCCTCCGGAAGGAAGGTGAAAGGAAGACATTCTCAGATGAGGGAAAACCAAGTGGACCTGTTGTGAAGAAACTGCTAAAAGCAGTTCTACCGCTTAGGTGGAAGGGACAAGATCCCAGAAGGAAACCTGGAAAGTCAGGGAATGAAGGGAAAGCAACATAAGTGGCAAATGTCTGGGTTATGTGGAAGACTGTTATTCTTCCACTCTTGATTGCTGTCAGTGTTTGAGAATTAAAAGCAAAAATCTTAACATTGTCTGGGACGCCTGGATGGCTCAGTTGGTTAAGCATCTGCCTTTGGCTCAAGTCAGGATTCCAGGCTCCCTACTCAGTAGGGAGTCTGCCTGTCCCTCTCCCTCTTCCCCTCCCTGCTTCTCATGCTCTCCCTCACTTTCTCACTCACATTCTCATGTCCTCTCAAAAAAATAAATAAAATCGTTAAAAAAAAAATCTTAACACTGTCTGATGTGGTTTCCAATGTATCTAGATGGATATATGGAACAACTCTAGCATCAAGGGGGTAGGAGAGTTTCTGGATTCCAACTGAAATGATAAAATATTGATTCTAAGTAGATGATGAAAAGATAAGTATGCATTTTATAGCAACAACATTTTATAGAAAAAAAAACTATACAGAAATATAGTAATGACCACAATGAAGAAATGAAATGGAAAACTAAAAATATCCAGACCATAGAAGGATAGAGGGGGAAAAAAAAACCCAAAGGAATAAAAAACAAAGGGAACAAAAAGAAAACAAGTAATACAATGGTAGATTTTAATCTAACAAATTAATAATTACTATAAGTATAAATGCTCTAAACATAACAATTAAAAGACAAACTCCTAGAATAGATTTTAAAAAATGACCCAGTTTGAGCATTGGATAATATATGGAAGTGTTAAATCACTATATTGTATACCTGAAACTAATATTATACTGTATGTTACCTTACTGGAATTTACATAAAAACCTTTTAAAAATGACCCAGTTATATGCTGTCTACAAGATATATGATACACGTAAGTTAAAAATAAAAGGACAGGGTGCCTGCCTGGCTTAGTCAGTAGAGTGTGTGACTCTTGATCTCAGGGTTGTGAGTTTGAGCCCCAAACTAGGGGTAGAGATTACTAAAAAATAAGATCTTTAAAAATAAAATAAAAGGATTAGAAAAAGAAGTAAAAGGATAGAAAGACACATGATGTGTAAACACTGATTGAAAGAACTCTGGAATAACAATATTAATAACAGACTTCAGAGCAAAAAAAATTACTAGGGATAAAGAGGGACATTAAATAATGATAAAAGAAAGGGTTGGTTCACCAAGGAAACATAAGAATCCTAAATGTGCTTGTGCTTATCGGCACAGTGTCAAAATCTGCTAAGCAAAGGCATTAATTTGCCATTAACAGCTGGAGCTTTTAACACTGTCAATAATAGAACTAGTAGACAGAAAATTAGCAAAATAAGCTAGAAGAATTGAACATCACCAACCAAGAGGGTTTAATTGGCATTGACAGAACAGTCCACCCAACAAAAGTAAAATATACATTTTTTTCAAGTGCATAGGAACATTCACCAAGATAAGATTATATTCTGGGTCATAAAATAAACTTTAACAAAATTTAAAGAACCAATATTATTAAAAGTATATTCTTAGATGATAATGCAATTAAATTAAAAATCAGTGACACAAAAATTTGTGAACACTTAAAAATTAAACAACACACTTTTGTTAAATAATCTATGGGTCAAAAAGGAAGTCTCAAGGGAAATCTGAATATATCCTGAACAAAAATGAAAATCCAACAAACCAGTTATGGGTTGCAGCTAATACAGTACTTATACATTAACGGCATTAAATATTTATATTAGAAAAGAGGAAAGGTTTCAAATCAGTATCTTCAGTTTCCACTTAAAGAAACTAGAAAAAAAAGAGCAAAATAAACTCAAATCACAGAGAAGAAAATACTGGTGCTAATAGCAGAAATCAATGAAATTGAAAACAGGAAAACAACAGAGAAAAATCAATGAAACCAAAAGCCACTTCTTGGTAAAGATCGATAAAATAGATGAAACTCTCACAAAACTGACGAAGAAAAAAAAATGACATATGGCCAATATCTGGAATGAAAGAGGGAACAACAGCATAGACCCTGCCGACATTAAAGAGACAATAAGGGAATACCATTAACAACACTATGCATATAAACTCAATGACTTTGAGGAAATGGAACAGCTTTTAAAAACAGCACACTACCAAAACTCACCCAAGATGAAAGAGAAAATCTGAATAATTCTATAACCATTACATGATTGAAATTTGTAGCTAAAATTATCCTGAAAAAGGGGTGCCTGGGTGGCTCAGTTGGTTAAGTGTTCAATTCTTGATTTTGGCCTAGGTCATGATCTCAGGGTGGTGAGATCGAGCCCTATAACAGGCTCCGCACTGGGCATGGAGCCTGCTTAAGATTCTCTCTCTCCTTCTGCCCATCCTCTCTTAAAACAAAAATTCTGAAAAAGATATCTCTAGGCTCAGAGAGTTTCACAGGTGAATTCCACTAAATAAATTAAAAATACACAATTTATGATACCTTCAAAAAAATAAATAGGTATAACTCTAACAAAACATGCACATGGTAAAAAACTACCAAACGTTGATGAAAGAAATCAAAGATGACCTAACCAGAGAAAGAGATATATAGCATTTGTGGCTTCTGAGACTTAATATACTAAAGATATCAATTTTCTCCCATACTGATTAATAGAGTTATTTAGTAAAATACCAATCAAAATCCCAGCAGGATCTTTTTGTAGATAAGACAAGCCAATTCTAAAATTTTATACAAAGGAATTAAATACCTAAAACAATTCTGAAAAAGAAGAATGTTGGCAGGACCACACAGTCTGATTTTCAGACTTAATAAAGTTACAGTTATGAAGATAGTGAGGTATGGGCGAATGAACAGATATACAGATCAATGGAAGAGTAGAGAGTCCAGAAATAGACTCACATGAATATAGCCAATTGCTTTCTGACAAAAATATAAAAGCAATTCAGTGGAGAAAGGGATAGTTTGAAAAAAAAAAATGATACTGAAACAACTGTAAAACACTGTTCCAGATACCAAAAAAAAAAAAAAAAAAGCATATAAACCTCCTACCTTATATAAAACTTAACTCAAAACTGATCATAAATGTAAAACTATAAAACTTTCTGAAGAATTTTAAGAAGAAACCTATATGACCTTGGGTTTGTCAATGAGTTCTCAGACATGGCACCAAAAGCACACAGACTAAAAAATCAGTAATTGGACTTTGTCAAAATTAAAAACTTTTGTCCTGTGAAAGAACTGCACCGAAAGCATGAAAAGACAAGTGACAGACCAGGAAAAAACATCTGCAAATCACATCTGATGAAATACACGAATACAAGAATACACGAAGAACTTTCAAAATCCAACAATCAGGAGAAAAAACAACCCAGTTTAAAAATACTCAAAAGACATGAAAAGACACTTCTCCAAAGATGATATATGGATGACAAAGAAGCACACGAAGAGGTGGTTATAGTTAGCCATCAGGAAAATTAAAACTTACAAATTAAAGCCACAACGAGCTAACGCAACACACCAATGAGGATGGCGAAAATCAAAACACTGACCGAGGAGGGTGTGGGACAGCCAGAACTCCGCTCCACTGCTGGTGGAAAGGCGAAGATGCTGCAGCCACTTTGGAAGATGGTTTGGCAGTTTCTTACAAAGTTAACACACACTTACCATATGACCCAGCAATCTCACTCCTGGAAATTTGCCCTAGAGAAATGAAAACTTCTGTCCACACGCAAACCTGTATGTGAAACGTTTACAGCATCTCTATTCACAACTCCCCAACACTGGGAACAACCCAACAGCCCTTCAGTCGGTGAATGGACCCACAAGGTGTGGTTCAGGATATAAAATAAATATAAGTAAATATAAGAAGAAACAAACTTTTGATAAACATGGTAACTCGGATGAATCTTAAAGACATTATGCTAAGTGGAAGCCAGACTCAAAAGGCCACATACTGTATGATTCCGTTCATAGAATAATCCCAAAACAACACTAGAGTAGTCCCCCCTTTATCTGCAGGAGATACGTTCCAAGACCCCATGGATGCCTGAAGCCAGACAATAACAAAACTTCTATGTACTATGTTTTTTCCTATACATATATTTCTCTAATAAAGTTTAATTTATCAATGAGGCACAGTGAGAGATGAACAATGAACTAATAATAAAAACGGACAATTAGAACAATATACTATACAAGGTATGTGAATATGGTTTCTCTCTCCCAATATGTGATGTACTAGACCATGGGCCTGGTGGTGCAGCGTGAGGCTGCTACCGACCTTCTGACAATAATCCGTTGGACCACCCTTGGATTCCAGACCGCGGTTGACTGGGGAAGAGAAACCATGGAGGGTGGGGGGATACTGGACAGTGAAGGGGACCAGAGTGGTGGCCGCTGGGCAGAGGGGAAGGCGGGAAGGTGGGGACTACCAACTGGTGGCAGGAGGGAGGCTTCAGCGGGGATGTGTATCCCCATTACGGCAGTGGGCTATAAAAATCTGCGCATGACAAGAAGCTCAATCTTACTTAGTGAAAATTTAAAAAATAAAATCAAAGGAAAAAGCAAACCTGAACAAAACAGCCAAACAACAAGGAAAGAAGCTGTGGGAGAACCACACGTTGCTGCTCTCAGCTTTACGGAGAGACCGCCGGTTTGTGGATATGTAGATGGGGTGGGTGGAGACCTTTGCCTTCTCACTTTGCGCCCTGCTTTAAACAGCAACAGCGCAGTGTGCCCGCACAGACTCTGAATAGGCACAAGAGCTAGCGCGAGAGCATAGGCGCCCCAGGGGCCCCGCAGGGCCTAACCTGAACCGCTGGCCAGCATCACACAGAAAGTAAACGTCTCTCAGGGCCTGGCTGGTTTTAAAAGTCTAGCTGCTTTTTCTTCAATCACAGAGAAGACAAAATTTGTCTAAAAGCAGCAAAGAAAGGAAAGGGAGCCTACCAAGAGGTTGACAGATTCGATGACGTCCAAGAACACCTCATTCTTCCGGTACTTGATGCCCTCGGACCTCCAGGACACTGCGTTGGTGACGGTGGCTGGGGGCCTCGGGGCCCCCGTTTCCAGCTTGTGGCCTTCCTGAGTGATGTATCTGTGGGACCACACCCAGGGTCAGGAGCTGGGGCACTGGCATTTGGAAAACAGTCAAGAAGCCCCAACAAACTCATTACACTGAGTGTAGAGCATGCAATTTGGGGGCAGGGGGTGGCAAGGAGACAGCAGTGGAGAGGAAAACAAGGAATGGACACCACCTGCTCTCCTGCTGGGCAGGCGGAGGGGACCGACCCCTGGGGGGGGAAGCTGGTGACCCTGATCCCACCTGGGGACTGATGGGCGCGGGATGCCAGCCAGTGATGTGGCTTCTCCGAGTGTCCCCTGCACCATGTAAAATGGGGAGCCACGCCCCTCACACAAAGAGTGAAGGTGAAGCTTTCGCCACGGGGCCTGGTGCCCAGGAGGGACTTGATCCGTCTGCCCCGGTGCAAAGGGCAGGGCTGCCAAGAAGAATGTGTTTTTCTCTCGGCCTCATGTACGACAGTGAAAACAGAGGGAGGTGACTCCCTAACGACAAGGCACGTAGTGCACCACCTAGCACGAGTGACATGCTTGTGGTGTGCAGGGACGCTGAGCGGCCAAGAATCTACGACCACCCAGGAGCCCGCAAACGCCCAGGTTGGGCCGGAGATGGAGACAGCGTGGCGGCTCACACCGGAAGGCGCTTTCGTTTCCTCCTGTCTCCACACCTGATGACATCAACCTGTGATGTCGCCAGGCCTGGGTCCCCACCCTGCCCACTCACTCCTGCAGGATCTTGCTGTCGGTGGTCTGGGGGTAGCCGAAGTCCATGAGCTCATCCAGCAGCTCGTAGATGATGACAAAGTTATCACGAATACTCTCCTCCTCCAGCTCCTTGAAGTACTCAGAGAACACCTGCGGTGGGGCGGCAGATGGGTGACACGGGGCCAAGCAAGGGGAAGCGCCTGCAGGAAGCCACTTGGCCTTCAGGCCCCAGAGCCCACAGCCCTCTTGCCCACCCGCTGCATCTGCCCATGTGCAAGGCCAAGCAAGGGGAAGCGCCTGCAGGAAGCCACTTGGCCTTCAGGCCCCAGAGCCCACAGCCCTCTTGCCCACCCGCTGCATCTGCCCATGTGCAAGGCAAGACAGGCCACTGATGAGGCCTCAGGCGCGGCAACTGGGCAGGAGGATAGCACTGGCTGCCAGAGAGGCAGGGAGCAGGCTTCCGGCAGGGCAGGCATCCTCGGGGGCCTGGCAGAGCTCTGCATCTCCATCCCTGTGGGTCTCCTCTCCTCTCCATCCCAATGGTCCCCACTGGGTCTAGGGTCCCATTAGAGCTTCTCTTTAATCCCCACTGTTAACTGTCACCCTGAGCATGTCACAAGTGACTCAGGTGAGGGGCAAGAGCCACTGGGGACAGAACAAGGAGTTCTTCTGAACTCTTCCAACTCTCCTGAGCTGTGACACATCTCCCCCAGTTCAACAGGAAATTAAGAGGATCAAAGAAGGGAAGGGAGAAAAGTTTCATTAGCACTAACCCTAAAGGAAAGTCACCAAGGCAAAAAGGAAATGCCAAATGCTGCAGGGAGAAGAAACTTCCTCCTTCCCCTCTCTCTCGTCCACTGATGCCCCTCTGCATCCTGGGACCTGCCGCTGGGCCTCTCTCTACTCAGAAGTCATTCCTGCACCGGCGCCCCTGCTCTGGGATGAGCACCTACTCCTCAGCCTGGACTCGGGCTCCCCAGGGGGATACACACTCTGCTGCCCCTGTGTTCTCATCGCCCAGACCAGCCCATTCCCCAGTGTTCAGTACTTGTGGCTCCTGAGCTAGCTACACATGGCTCCACCTGGGGGACCACAGCTCTCCTGGGCCCACCCAGGCCTCCTGGGTCTGGTTCTCCACTTTCTTCAACCCCCCAGCCCCTGCTCCAGTCAGGCCCTCCATTTGCCCTGTGGAAGCTTGCAGCAACTTCCTCATTGGCCTCCTGCCGCCTTCTAGTTCCTCCTCCATTTAGCAGCCTGCTAGATGATCTCAACTCGTCAGGTCTTGTCAATCTCCTGCTTCAAGTTCCCCACCAACTCTCATCACTCTTGGAATGAAATCCAAATTCCCCCCAGCCCCTGCATGTCCCTAACCCCAGTCCAGCTCCGCCAACCTTGCTGACCTCAGACCCACACTGTCCTGAGCACACTGGCCAGCCTGATGCTTCCTGACCGTACAATCCCACATGCACTCCTGCCCCAGGGCCTTTACGTGTGCTGCTCTCCCTGCCTCCGCATCTCTGAGCAGAATCTGGTTCTGCCCTCCTCCTGGCTAGCCTACCTTGCTAAGCTCTGACTCTCAGCTGGATGCCCACCACCCTTCCCCAGCCAATCCTGGATTCAGGGCGCACTGACCTGCCCTGTTTCCCCTTCTCACCATGTCAGATGGACAACGAAGGTCATAAAATCCCACACATGGGGCAGCTGGAGCTCCCCCTTCCCATTTTCCTGGGTTCTAGCCCCACAACTCCCTAGGGTGCTGCAGCCCTCAGTGGGTGTGGGCAGAGGCCCGTAGCAGAGCCAGGGTGACTGTGGTTCGACTCACCTGAACCACTTTATAAAGGAAGGAGAACACCAGCGACACGCATGCGTTCTTCTTTGATGTGGCGACCACTGATTAGCGGCCCCAGTTAAGGAGTGTTCAGAGGCCTGGGCTGGTACCTCACAGACCCCGATTCACCACAGGTCTGAGGGGGGACCCCACAGCCATGCGGGGTTCAGAACCTCCCTCAACCCAACTCCAGACATTCACTTGGCCTTTAGTGAGTTACTGAGCTTATGACCTGAGCCAGGCCTGAGACACAGCAGTCACCCAACGTGTTCCCAGCCCCAAGGGAGTCCTCCATGTCAGAGAGGCAGCAAGGGGCACAGGGAACCCACCCCAGTCACTGGGCTGCCATGAGGAGCTGCTACCTGAGCCGAGAGCCAAAGCCCAGGGTGGTGGTGGGGGTGCACCTCAGGTGGGGTGAACGTCCCAGGGTGGGGAGCAGAAAGCAGGACCACAACTGGTCCTTCCCCAAAGCGAGTGGTTTAGGCGATCCCCCTGAGGCCCACGGCTCCCCAGCCAGGCTCTGATGGAGACAGCCAGGGCCAGCGCCGGCTCAAGCCCTTCCTGCAAGCCTTGGCTCCTAAAGCAAACCTTTCTAACGGACTCTCCATTTTCCTACTTGTTTGATGGGGGCCTGACAGTGGATTCATCGAGGTGATGTGTGTAACATGTGCGGCACGGACTCTTCCTCCAACACCGGGGAGGGTCCCTGCCTCACGGGGTCAGCCTGTGCTACACACTTCCCGTTCCTTTCCCCTAAAGGGCCTCGAGCCACCTGGGGAGGCTGGTTCCTCCACTGCAGGCCCATGTGCTGTGCCCTGGACATGCCCGTTCATGACACACCCATGCCGCCCAGCCCCTGGGGCTAAGCCCAGAGCTCCAGGCAGAAGGGATGGCGGGGCCCATGTCCACCTCACTTCCTGCCCAGAGCAGGGACCCAGGAAACCGATGGTGGGCCAGTCAAAGGAGTGCTGGCCTCTGTCCTCCAGCCTGGGATCACATGCCCCTCTGCTGCTTTCTAAGGAGGGACAGCAGGCCCTCAAGGCCGGGCCCTGCTGGAAACTGTCACCGACAGTGGAACCAGGGAGCAGGAAGGGGATGTTGGGCAGCAGCACCCAGAGAGGTGAGCGGCTGCCGTCTCCTCCCCGGGCCCGAATGGGAACTGGTCAGACGGCTCCTGCTGTGCTCACACCACCACCACCTCCACACCTGGGCGGCCACCGCCCAGACCCAGGGCAGCTTCACAGACCACCAACCCCTGGGCTACAGGCTGCCTGTGGTACTCTGGAGTCGCCCCCGAGTCCCTCCGGAGCGGGAGGGGAAGGAGCAACAGAGGCTGCAGGAGCAGGACCTCCGGGAGCTCTCGGTCGCCCGTGCATGCCTGTGTGTGTGCGCACAGCAGGCCGCGGGAAGCTGCCCCGCAAAGGGATACGATACAGATTGTTGTGCTTGATCCACATGAAGCGGACGCCCCCGTGGGCCAGGATGGGCGACAGCATCCCTTCCTCCTCCTTCTCCATCAGGATAGGCATGAAGTGCTCCACCTCCGACATGTCCACGTCGCCGCGGTAATTCCGGCAGATGAGCACCTGGGTAGGGCGGGGAGGAACACTGCTTTCACTGTGAGCCCACAAGCCAGGTGCCTGGAGTGGGAAGGTGGCTAATCACAGCCCTGTCCATCAGAGACTCCAGGCCATGCTGATCTCTGTCCCCCAGGGAATTCCTCAAGGAGAGCATTTCCCAAAGTGGGCCAGCCGGCTGCTCTGCAGGGGAGCGGAACAGAGGACAAGGGTCTGGGACTGAGCCAACTGTAGGGTGCCAGGTTAAAACAACATCCTGTCAGCTCTCTCCATGCAGACCTTCCCAGAGCCTTGCCTGTGCTAACACATCCCACTCTTCTGCCTGTGTCAGGGTGCCCACCCATTCAGGGGACACCGCTGAATGTTTGTGTCCACCAGAAGCCCCCTGTGGCCTGAGAAGCACCTCCTAGCGCTGCTGCTTCTTTCTTGCTCTTTCACAGCCCCTGTGTGAGGACACACAGCACCCAGAACCCTCGTCTGCTGCTCCTGAAGACTTGACATGGGGCAAGCACTTCGGGAAAGTCTGGCAGGCTCTCACACGGGGAGACCTAGCGTAATACCCAGCCATTCCTCTCTTAGGTATCTACCCAAGAGAAGGGAAATCATACATATACATCAAGACCCGTATTCGCTGCAGCTTTACTGTAAATAGATCAGGCTGGAAGGAGAGCCACCATCCTCTGATGGGCGAATGGAAATAAGAACTCTGTCCATCCACAGCCCGGAAGGCTCCTCAGTCACGACAAGGAACGACTACTTCCATGGGTGGCAGCATGAGGGACTCCTAGAACCACTGGGCCAGGTGAGCAACCAGACAACGGGAAGAATATACCGGCCCAGGGGATTGCATTCACATAAAGCCCTTGCAAGGGGTGACAGAAAACACGACCATGGCAGCCCGGGGACGGGCTTGACACAAGCGGAGTGAGGAAGCCTCGGGAGTGATGGACTGTGTGCATGTGGCTTCCCGGGTTTATACAATGACTGAACTCATCAAATAAATGCAGTTTGGACCATGAAAGCGACCCCTCCCGGAAGGGATAAAGAGGAGGCCGAGCTTTGCCAGGCTGCATAATGCTCTCTCTGGAGACGGGTGTTCTGGGTGGCCATGCCTGAGTCAGCCCTGGGCCCCTGGTTGCCTGTGTGTGCCGGGCTGCTGCCACGAGCCCGGGAGGACAGCGGCAGCAGGACTCAGCACCAAGGCAAGAGGGGCCCTGCGGAGCTGACCACGCTGGCAGCGCCAGCCTCAGAACCTCTAGTTCCACAAAATACACTGTCTTTGTTGTTTCAAGCCAGGACAGAGAGAGAATCAGAGAGAGTCAAAAACGAGAATCTCTTTCCTAGTTTCCCTTTCCTGGTCTGTGTCCTCTTCCTGCGAGGTCCAGAAGGCCTTAGGGAGCCAGCACCCAGTGGGTAAGCTCATGGGCACGTGGGTCAGGCCCGGGCTACTCCTTGCCAGGAACAGACAAGGCAGGACTGTTACTTTTAGAGAGATGCACAGTCTACCATGGTCACACGGCCTGTCCGCGGTCACACAAGCCAGCAGAGGTGAGTCTGGATTCTAACCAGTTCTCACCCCCTGCATGGTCCCTTCTGCTCCCTAAACATTGCTTTCCTGGCTTCTCAAGGCCCAGCTTCTTCCCCAGGTATACAGTTTTGGGGGCTGCTGCTGGCAGGGAGCCCCAAGTCCCCAGAATGGTCAGAGGAAAGAGCAGGGAGCAACTTCTCTTGCTCACCTTCTTCACCAGGGCTGAAGAGAGGCCTGCTCACCGCCACAGCAGGCACTGTGTGCCCCTATGCCGTACACTGGGCCGGACCTGGGGACACGGAGGTGACCAAAACAGAGTCCCTGCACTGGGACGCTTGCTTAAGAGGAACTGAGAGCCTCCCGAGGGTGTGACCTTCTAACTGAGGCCAGAAGGGACGGGGGGATAGAGGCAGGGGGACCAAGATAGCTGAAGCCACGGGGTAGAGTCGGGGGTGCAGCCCATGGTGGGACCTGCGAGCGCTGGGTAGGTGGAGTGAGGAGAACCTCAGAACTTGGGCTGCAAGTCCCGGATGAGAGGACAAAGGCAGGAGACAGGACAGATTGAAGGAAGGCAGGCAACGTTGACGAGACAAACCTCTATCCTTATGGCTACTCTTGACCCCCACAATTTCTTCCCCACAAAAAAGAGGGGTCTTCTTATACAGAACTCAGACTGGGATTCTCCCTGCTGAAACTGCTGTCTACCCCAGTCTCCCCCATCCTGAAAGCAAACTGCACATTGAACCCCATGGCAATCTGGTTCTTCATGGCTCCGCCGATGCCTCTCAGTCCATCTCGCCCCTACCCTCACTCCCCCACCCCCAGGTCACTCCATTCCAGCCATCCTGGTCCCCTAGCCGCTCTCTGAGCCCTCCACATCTGTTCCTGCCTCAAGGCCTCCGCACCTGCAGCTCCCTTTGCTCAGAATGCCCCGGCCTCTTCTAACTTCTCAAGCCTCAGGTCAGGCGGCACCTCCCCCAAGAAGTCAGAGAGAGCAGACCCTGTCCCTCCCTAGCCCAGCCCCACTTGTCCTTCACTGCCACAACACCGCTGCACTATAATTTCTATCCTCTTTCATGGTCTGTCCCTTCTGCCAGAGTCTAACACTCCCTGAGAACGATGACCACTTCTAACTCGTTCACAACTGTGTCCCAGCACCCACAACAAAGCCTGATCCCGGTGGGTGCTCAGTGAATGTCTGTGGGGTGAACATGGCGTGAGGAGAGAAAGAAGGCCGGGATAATGCCCAGGTCTCCAATGAGGGCAGTCCCGTGGATGGTGGGATCTCTCCCAGATAGGGAGAGAGCCGGTCTGGGGTGGCAGCGAGCTCATTTTGGGAAATGCCGGGTCTGTGGTGGCTGTGGGACCTCTGAGGTGTCCCAGAGGACGACGGATCTCCCGATAAGTACTCTGGACTGTGGCACAAACTTGAGTCCCTGGTATAGGGACGTGAATCAAAGCCTGCCCAAAGTGTGGGTGGGACTCCTAGGCCTGAGCAGGAGAAGTCAACATCCAAGGGGAGAGGCCAGTACATGGAGACAGAAATGGGCAAAATAAGAGGGAGCAGAACTCGGAGACCAAAGGGAGCCCACCGAGGAGTATGGTAGTGGTGTCAGAAGCTGCAGAGAAACAATAAAGGGCAAGGAGATGTCCATGAAGGCTTTCTAGCAGCTAACTGTGGCCATGCTGGTTTCCCTGTTGATCAGAGGTTCTGGCTGGCAGATAGACGTGTGGTCATGAATTTCTTAATGGGCCATTACCTTACTTTTTATTAAATATAGTCTGCACAAAAGGTCCTTTTAAAACCTGAGGTCCATGGGGAATGGAGTAATAAACAGCATGATGGTTGCTGAGGACAGGAGGCAAGTCCATGACTGCCCTGAGAGCGTCCCGAAAGGCAGGTCTGGTCATGCTCCTCCCCGTCTACAATCTCCTCTGATGGCTCCTGTTTCTCGGGACCCCACTGGTCCCTTATGTTCCTCATTCCCATCTGGACATCCTCAACCACCCATGGCTCTGCTAGTGCCAGCCTCCAGGCTCCAGCATTACCCAGGTCTTCTGGCTCACCAGCCCCAGCAGGCCGCCCCTGACCCCTCAGGCCAACCATGATGCTTCCATGTCCACCTGACTGTCACCTGGTCCCAGCTCTGGCACCTCCCTCCTCCAGGAAGCCTGTTGTAACTACTCGTCCTTCTGCAGCCAAAACTGAGGTTGGCATCTATATTACCTGGGGCTGTGTCCACACCCTTGCAAGCTACCTCGATCTGACCATTTGGATCCATCCGCTTCCGTGTGTCTCCCCTGCTAGTCCTTGAGGCCCCAAATGGTGTTAATAAGGATGGTGGGCCATGGGTGGTGCAAACCCATCTCAAACATCTGCTCAGAGAATTTGCACAGTAACACCAAAACCAGCCTGTGTGAGCAGTGAGGAAAACAAGGCTCAGAGAAGGGAAGGTACTTGCCTGAGGTCACACAGCTGAGCAGCAGAGGTGGGTTTTGAACTCAGCCCTAACTGCACAGTCACGATAAGACAGTCCGCACTGGGCTTGGTGCATGCTAGGTGCTCATGAAATGTTTGCGGAAGGAATGAGAGATCTGACATAAGGCAGCCTTTGGGAACCCGGGACACAGTGGCTCCCGTGGAAGGAAGAACATGCGTGACAAGAACACTAGGAACACTGCATCGACTTGGCCCCGGTGTGCCCTGTGTCTTCCCTTGCCTGAGGGCTGGGGAAGGGAGTCCAGCACCGGGCCTCACTAGTTGTTGACTTTGGGTGGCATCCAGGGCAGGTGACCCACTCGAGGGACTCTCAGAAAGTGTTAGAGGGCGGAACTCTGGGACGGGGGCAGGAAGGGATAGCCACCTCACCTCTCCACTCCCCACTGCTTTGGAGCTGACTCCTACTTGCCCCCCTGAGCCCAATGCCCACCTCTCTGCCAGTGATCCACGCAGGACTGGTTTAGCATTGTTGGTAGTGTTCCTCTTACGTCCAGATGCAAGAGGCCAATACTCTCACTTGCCTAGTCAGGACAGACTTGGGGGAAGGCAGCAGCCCCCCTGGAAGGGCTCTGAGATCCCTCCTTGAAGAAGTCTTCCTGGAGTCCCCTGAGAATGGCGCCTGGGTCCTAGTCATGTGCAACTCTACCTTTAGGTCTCAGCCAGATTTGTCACTCCCTCCCGGAAGCCCTCCCTGACCCCCAGCCATGGCACAGTCTCCTATTACATCGTCACTGCTTCATGATGGCAACTGACATTGATTCGTGCTTTCTGAGATCAGTGTCCCTTTCTCCCACCAGACTGTGAGCTCCAGAAGGATCCGATTTTGCTTACCAAAGGCAGCCCGAGGCTAAGCACCCCTAACGGGTGCTCTCCAAATATCAGCTGACTCCTAGACCTGCTATTCTGTGGCTGGTGTGACCTTGGGCAGGTGGCGCGCCTCTCTGTGCCTCAGTTTCTCCCTCTGTAAAATGGCCCTCCCACCATCCACTTCACTTAATCCTGTAACTAACTCTGTGTCACTCCGAACATTAAGAAATTCACGCGGGGACTGGCCAAGAGAAATCACCGGATAAGGAGGGCGGGACTGGCTCGAGGGCACACTGTCCCCGACACGCCTCACCACGACCGGCCAAGGGTCGCTCGGCCCCTGAGCGCCAGTCCTGGCTTCGAAGCCGACTGAGGCCCGCCCTCCCAGCTGCCTCGGGTTCCCCTATGCCCCCACGGAGGCTTGAGCACCCTACCCACAGTGGGAGGGGGGCCATGCAGGTGTGTTACCTAGCAACAGGGCGGGGCTCCCGGATGGAAGCCCCCGCCAGGTTACCTAGCAACAGGGTGGGGCCCTGAGGTGAGGTCGACCAGCCTCCTAGCCTAAGACTAGGGTGGGTCCCATTGGCGGGTTACCTAGCAACAGGGTGGGTCCCCTCCAGGGGGCGAGGCCCCACCGGTTGCCTGGCAACGGGGAGGGTGGAGAGCCGTATGTACCTTGCCCTTTAGGTCCAGCACGTAGACGGCGCTGGCGGACATGACGGCTGCGGGAAGCCTCGGCAGCTGCCGAGGGCGGCGGCGACGGCGGGGACTGCCGGGCGTTGAGCAAGGCCAGGCGCACCCCGCGACAGTTCGCCTCCACTTCCGGTCCGGGGAGCCGCGCGCGGACCGTTATGTCCGGTCGGGGAGGGGCTGCCAGAAAGGCGCAGGCGCGAGGCGGAGTATGCGCAGGCGCAGTACACCCGATGTGACCTTATTTCCCGCCCCTGCCTCAAGCATCCCGGAAGTAAGGCCCGGAGGGGCGGGACCGGGCGTGGCCGACTGAAGCAGGGCACTCCTCAAATGCCAGGCGGGGCGAGGAGGCCAGGGAAGGTGGAAACCCCGTCCCGCCGTGGGCCAAGTGAGGTGACATACCGGTGGCAGAACCCACCTTGGGCCCAGTCCCATGAACCCCACAGTCTGGTGGGGGAGTCTAGGAATAAATATAGTTACCAATTATGATATGCTTTATAGGGAAAGGGAAGGCGGTGGTTACTTGGAAAGAGGCCAAACTCTCTGAATGGCAATCGAGCCTTACCAACAAGTCACCGCTTGTTACCTGTCAGTGTCAACATTCTTCAGTGCCTGTTTATTGCCTGGAATGATCTGGAAACCACGCCCCACCGAACCTCGGTGAAAAGCACTTCTCTTGTTTCTGTAGTTAGTGACCATAATGGGTGATGCAAATTGTGACCCCTGGTCTATCGACTGGGTATCTCATTGCTTTTAATAACACTCGGGAAGTGGAGAAAGGCCTGCATTTTGTCCCAGTGAACCATCACAGTGCTCTGGAGACCACAACCCTGCAATATTCCTCCTATCTCCTTTGGGGTTTTGAAAGATGGCTTTTGCAATACATCCTCTGCTTAGGATAAAGATGAAGTGCAAGAAAACCCAGAGAAGAAAACTGGAGTATTTAGAAAACTACTAAGTAAATCCTGGGCTGGAAGCATTCTTTCACAAAACGTCTGGGAGACTGTTTTTGACAGACTTCAACTGTCTCGTACAATACCCTATTATACCTAGCCTCATAGTTTGCCCAAAATATTTCAATGTTTTAGGAAAACATGTCTTTTTAAAATTACAAAATTATACACTTCCCTGGGGAAAAAAATCTACGGAAATGCCAAAAAGTACAAGACAAAAAGAAAAACCACCCAGGAGAGGTGACCCCTCTCATTATGGAGTATTTCAGGCTTGCTCTAGGCAAAGTTTAGATGTTTAAAATCAGTACTGGGGGGCGGGGATAGGGCTGGGAGGAACAGATTGGACAAAAGTCTTGAAGAAACAAGACTCCCAAGTGCCAAGAGCACCATGACAATAAACACTGTTTACATAAATTATTTGTACCCTCCCTTCTCCGTGTGTGGGCAGAATTCAAGTCACCGTCCTTGGCAGTTACACTTAATGTATAAGCCAGATTTGACCTCTGCACCATCTCAGAAAAGACCAGACCCACTGTGGCAGACCAGGGCTTCTCAAACTTTGCTGCCTATTAGGGTCATCTGAGGAGCTCTGAAAAATCTCAGTGACAACCCCACCCGAGGAAGCATCAGTGGTTCTTAATACTCACAGGAGAGTCTAACATCCACAAGAGTTTGAGAAATGTGGTAGAAGAACAGTGATGGCCTGAATCAAGCACGTCTCCTGGTATGCGTGGCCATGGAGTTCTCTCCTTCACTGGGTCTGCCAAATGTGACTTGTGTTGGCCAACGAAACAGAATACACAGAGATTCTGAAGAAGGCGTAGCTGCCACCTTAGACTTTCTAATCCCCAGGCAAATTAACACAGTGACACAAGGGAAGTCTACCACATGGCGTAGAACCGTGCAGCCCAGCAGTCAACCCACAGAAGAGAAATCCTGCTGTTTTAAGTCCTTCGGCTTTGATTAGGTAAGCAGGGCAGTGGAGGAGCTGTCTTCTAGCGTACTGACGATGGCTTTTCACAGCATCCCATCATGCTCACAAACCCCAGCTGCGGGCTCGTGGATGAAAAAGCCCTCCAAGTGCCTTTCCGCTAGGCAGAGGGGGAACCTGCCCCAAAGAGCCACTACTAATGAGTGGACTCTCAGGTGGGCTGCAAGCCACAGGTGGAAAAATACGTCACCTAATTTCTTCCAAGTTGAGGGTGAATGGTCACTTTGTAGCATCCACATTCTACAGGTTCAATAACCCAAAAAGCAGTGTTTCTAGTGATAACCAAACCACTTTTAATTAAGACACTCAGACTTCTGTTTAATAACTATTTTTTTGCTTTATTCCATTCATAGGTGACAGCCTCAAACACAACACTTGGTTTTTCTCTTTTGACTTTGCTATTCTGTCACTACCTGGGTCAACAGAGTCTTCCTCCCAATAGTATATGCAGTTTGTTCCTCAGCAAGTAGGGTACCGGTAGGTCCTCAGAGATCACAGCTCTCCAGCACCAAGATCTGGGTCCTCCCCTTTGACTGCACTGTCTGTGCTGGGGCTCTGCCCAGGTCCTGTCACCCCTGAGGTGTTCTTAGGCCAGAAAGGCCAAGCGGGCTACATGCCATGTGCCAACTCTGAATAAACCCAGGGGATGCTTAGAGCCCAGGGTCAAGGGTAGTGTGGCAGGCTGTGTCAGGGTTCTATTACAAAGGGATGCCATGCTTGATTAGTGATGTCTGCCATGGCAACACCCTCTAGACATGTCTGGAACAGAGACACCAGGGGAAGAGGCTGCACGCCAGCCACAGGCTCAGATAGGGACAAGGCATGTATCCCATTCTTGCCTTAGACAGTTGTTCTGCTTCCCAAACTACATTGTCTCACAAACCACGTGGCTGGGGAGGCATTCTGAAGGCCATGAAGGTTCAAGCGGCTTCCTAAGGCTCCGGAAGGAACAGCCTAAGCCCCAAGCTAGAGGAAGCTTGGGAGGACAGCTCACGCAGGGCCCCGTGGGGGCATTAGCTCCTTATCTTCTGGAGTCTGTTTCATCCGGGGAAAGAGAGCTGGCTGACTGTCAGAGTTAGATGCAACTTGGGAGGTAAAGACACTTTTCTGTGACACACAGAAATAACCTTAATCTCTGGGTAAACTTGCAAAAATTTCCAGTCCAAACTAAAAAGGTTTATCGTCTGTGCTACTGACAAACCAAAATAGAGTAAAAGGACAGTCTTATTACTTTAATCAAGTTCCAGAAAGAGGGCATACTGCTTTGGAAAGCACTTGTCTCAGCAGAAGACGCAAGAGTGTGTGTAAAAGTATGTCTCTAGAAAAGACCAAAGGCACCAAACATAACCCCAACTTTGCCTTCCACTTCCCCTTGATGCCACTCCATACCCTGGGTGGGGAGGCTACTTCGTCCAGCTGACTTTGGGAATGTCATAGTGCTCCGTGAGGGTGTCCAGGTGTCTGTTGAAGTCCTGGGAAAGCCGAGAAGAAAACCCACATCAGTATAGCCTCAGACAGGACACTACTGTTGTGTGGCACTGCCCACTCCCACTTCTCCACATCCTGCCTCTCCTCTGTGAGCGCCCTCCTCTCAAAGCCACCTGGCCCTGAACTCTGGGCTCATCCTTAAATGAGCCTGGGGAGGTGTCGTTTCTGCTGGGTACCCCCACCCCAACACTCCAGTGGCTCCCTCTGCCAGGCTACATAGCCCGGTCTTCCCCACTGGGCTTGTAACTTACCTCCACTCTCTGCTTGTGGGTTTTGGATGCTTTCTTTAGGATCCTTTCCATTTGCTGAAGAGAGGAGAGAAATGGGAGGTGAGTTCACACACTTGACAGCCCAGGCCAGCATGGGGTGGAAGACCGAAGCCCCTACCAGCTTGGCTCTCACACCTAGTACAGCTGGAGGTCTCAGGGGGTACATCCTGTCCCTCCCTTAACTCTACTCAGGCTGGTCCAACAGGGATGCCCAGCCCCCAATACGTCCCACCAGGAACCCTGGTCGACTGCCCTTCGGTCAGAGTGGCAAGGACTATACTAGCACTGACGTGAGCAGGCTCTGCTGGGAACTCTATGTGTGCTTCCTGCATCCCCGGGCAACTGGCTGCATTCCCATTTTGCAGAAAAAGAAAGTTTCAGATGGAGTTTGAAGGATGAAAAATGAGGAAGGTGAAGGGCCCAACACCTGGTAGGAGCTCAAGGAGGTAGGTGCTGGTGACACAGTGCCACGAGGGCTCCAAGATCCAGATCGCCCCGATGAGTGTGACTGTGGAATGTGTATCTTGTACCACCATGACCTGCCCCACACCATTCCCAAAACTGGATGGGACCTCATAAGAGCTAAGAGCAGAGGACACAGAGCCCAACAAACCTGGGGCTGCACTTGGCTCTATGTTTACTGACTGAGTGACTATGGCCAACTTTGGTGCCCCCCTGTGACCCATGCTGTCTGGTACTGGTGCCCTAGTGTAGTTCTCTGCCACAATGACTCTGGGATGGCCCTGTGACTCAGTTTACTTAACAGAATGCAGTACCAGTGCCGGGCCAAAGATGTAAGACCCAGCAGCCTTTATGTGTTCTTGGAAGCCAGCCACTATGCAGGAATTCTGATGACCTTACTGGAGAGAAAGGACCTGGAGTATAAGATGACATGTGGGGAGAGAGGCCATGGGAGGAGCAACAAGGCATCAGACGTGATGGTGACGCTAGCTTGGACGTTTCAGCCCAGCTGGGGCTCCAACCTCAGCTGCCCTCTGACTGCATAGATTCCAAGAGAGGCAAGCCGGAGAACTATCCAGGTAAGCCGAGCCAACCCACAGAAGAACCCACAGAAGACCATGTCAGCCACCACCTGGCTGCTCCTTCCTGTCCCTCATCTCATTTGCTACCTGGCTGACCTGCTTTCCCATCCCTGCCTCTCTTCCTGCTGCTGTGAGCCCCTGTGAGGCCTGTGCATCCTCACAAGAGGCCACACTGACCTAACCAGTTGTCACCAATGCCAGGCACTCAGTAGGGCTCTGCCTTCCCTCTCCCCACTTCATGTACCAAGTTCACAGGGTATCCCACTTCACAGATACAGAAAATGAGGACCAGCCTGTGCAGTGGGTGATGAGACTGGAGATGCCAAGCCCTATCTCTTCAGGCTGGGGCCCTGCCCCATGGGCCCTTCTTCCAAGAACTGTCCAGCCTTAATGCTCACTACGCTCAATC